TGTGATGGACTGGAGACCTGTCCAGGTGTCCCTGTGATGGACTGGAGTCCTGTCCAGGTGTCTCTGTGTTGAACTGGAGACCTGTCAAGGGTGTCCCCCACCTCTCTCACAGTGACTGCTGGATATGGACACCAGTGACCCCTGTTACCCAAAAAGGAAGAAGCGGGTAAAAGATGATGAATAGATGGATAGACTAAATTCAAGATGGCCACCACATCTAGCTGACCTTAAATAACCCAAAAGGGCCGTAACTTGTGGTGAGGCAGCAGGTAAGACTAACCCCAATCTCACAGTCTGAATACTTACAGACTGCACATCTTTGTTTAAAACTCTGTCATTAACTTTTTCAAGTCAACCCTGTCTGTTAGCAAAATATCTTATAAACCACCTGACACACTAGATTAAACCTTTCAGGAAACAATCTTTGGACCTAGTGGATAATCTTTGAAGGATATCTAATTCAGTATTGCAATCACAACCAATGGCCATAAAAAAACACAAACATGGCTGAGTGAATTTTACAGATGTGCTTGAGTTCGGTGTGGTTGAGACTCAGGATGATTCCAAGACGTACTCTGAGTGTGACTGTGCATAACGTTACAAACCACCACTCTTCAGTTTTCCTCGTGGGAAGATCTTCATCCAAAACGGACACCTTCTCTCTGTATTCAGTGGAGAGAGCCATCAGCTCTTCCTGGCAGAATTAAAGACAGACTTTCATCACCTCCCCACCATCCTGCTCTCCTTTATCTTAGCCCACAGACCACTAACCACTGACATGTGTGTGGAGCCCCCCCCCCCCCTCCCGCTCTTACGCTGGGTCTCATCCCCTGCTGCCATCGGTCTTCTGCTAAAGCTATGCGCACACTTTCCCCTCTTCCTTCATCACCCCCCTCTGTCATTTCTCCTCGTTGTGGGACAGCGAGCTGTGATCTGGGCGGCTGCAACAACAGTGCTGGGATGTGGTGACAAAACCACATCCTTCTCCATAAGCAGTGGTGGTGGCTACAGGCGGGGGCGGGACTGCGTCTGCATCTATGTGTCATATGTTTCTACCCAAAAACAAGACAGCTTCTCCAACAGTCAACATCCTGACACGTGTGTGTCCCAGAGGGGATGTTGAACCTAAAACTCCACCATTACTTACATTAATCTACAGAGAACATACGGAACATATTTTTCTTAAACAGTTGTTTTATTTTGATTTAAAATCTCATTCAAACGCATCTATTCATTTTAATTACTTTTTCCAGCTTGCAGGGCGCTTGTACCTATCTCCAACAGCTGCTCTGTGAGATAAAGGGGACACCCTGGACAGGTCACAAGTCCATTACAGGGATGCATGGAGACAAACAACCGTTCACACTCTCACCTGCACCTAGAGACAAAACAGATTTACCAATGAACCTAACAAGTATGTTTCAGGAGCAGAGTACCACAGGAAAACTCCATTCAAACTCTACACAGACCTGTGATCTTTTAGCACGAAAGGGGCAGAACTAGCCACTGTTCCACTGTGCTGCCATTCTTTCTGACCCACCTGATCATAAATAATGAGTAAAGTTGCTCACATTAGAGGTGATGTTGGCTCGGATCTCTCTCAGGACATGTTGGCGGTACATCAGTTGAACTCGGACGGGCACTACAATGGGCTCTGAACAGAGAAAGATATTTTAGGAAAGACCTGTTGAAAATCCTTGACTGAGAACATTTATTGACTAACGGGGGAAATTCTAGGATTTGACCTTTAGGGGTGCCTGTACTGACAATGGTTCTTGGCTTGAACAACGCACCTCATGTTGTGGTTTTGAAGAAGTGCAAAATCTTACAGCACCTGGTATTACCAGGCGGTCTCCCATCCAAGTACTAACCAGGCCCGATCCTGCTTGGCTTCTGAGATCAAATGAGATCGAGTGTGTTCAGGGTGGCATGGCCGTGAACAAAAACACTGAACAAATGTGGAACAAATTTTTTTTTCCTCTTTCGGCTTCTTCAGGGGTCGCCACAGCGAACTGTCGCACGAAGACTTGGCGATTGTTTTTACACCAGATGTTCTTCCTGACAGCCACAGACCACCGAGCTACCACAGCCTCTGTGAGGAGCAGGGAGCTGCATCTAGGACACCTTACCTGCAAGAGCTGCACTTTCTTTTCCTCAGACAACATAGTTGGGGTTTTGCATTATGAACACTTTGCGGTCTACATCCGGCCCACGAGCCGTTTATGTCTGGAGGCCACCTACTTTCTGATTATCCATGCTGCTGATCTCATGCTGCTGATTACTTCATGCTGCTGTATTTATTTGTACTCATCTGCTCACACAGACTCATGTTCCTGCTGCTGTTGTTCGGAGTATTGTTTTGCACTATTAGTGTTTAGCGTATTTCTTAGTTTATATATCGGATCCTTCTTAATGTTTCTTTTTACTATTTATATTTTTGCTATTGCTGGATGTAACTGGGACCCTGTGTACACAATTTTGTTCCACCCCATGTAGCACAAGTGATGCAAATGATAATAAAGCCTACTTGTTACTGACTTGACTTTCTGTCTGCACCCTGCGATCAGTCCGGATCCTGATCTAGGAAAACACGAAAGGTCTTGAATCTTAATCCTGCATGTTGATCTGGTCTGGACTTTCCAGGTCTGAAAACAGCCACTTAGTGACTTTGGTTAGCACATGCTAAAGAAGTGACAACAACACATGAATCAGCTGTTACTGAGAGTTCACATGTGCAGCGAGAAAAGGTATTTTTAAAAAAAGGTTGTTTGAGCAGTGATCTGCTACGTTCGTGTAAACATGCTCCAAGTTTGCCAGTAAAAGAAAGGTGGACAGCGGAAACTGGCCGTTTAAAGAGGAATGGACTGAACAATGTGTTTATTTTGTTTATTTCAATTTAACTTGTGCTTAATTTAAGCACGTTTGAGCCGTTAGAAATAAGCTACAAGTATTTCTGTCAGAGCAAAAAAGTGCAAAAGCTAAAAAGTTCATAGAATTCCTACAGAATCCAAAAAGATGGAAGCTGTGGCATTTTGGGCTGATATAACATCTAAATGTGAAGCTACAAGGGATGAACATCACAGTGTGTGGACTGATAGCAGCTGCGCTTTACAGACAAAACTGGAGGTCTTCAAAAGTGACCTACAGGTAGGCTATTAAATATTTTATATCACACATAATGTCTCCATTCTACTTAACCATTGCTGATGATGTTTGGTTTTTAAGTAAAACTTTTTAATCGTTTTTTAATTGTACTTAAGTAGAGGGAACTGCTCCACTTCCCAAATCTTATGGAACAGACTGAAGTAAAGGAACATCCCCAGCGTCACGCAGAGTTCATGGAATCAGAATCAATATGGAGAAGCTGATTGGAAATGTCAAAATCTGCTTTGCATTTTAAATGTTGAGTTCCTGAGTTCCTTGAATCATGTTAGACTTGCACATTCTTTCCTTTTGTGGCCCTTTGTATACAAATATGTATATAAAAAATTTAAACCCCTCCTCTTATTTGTTTTCAAAATTTTTTGCAAGTTTCTTTTTCAAGTATTAAATGTATATTTAAATGAGAATGGCAGTTTATTCCAGTATGTATATTTGTTGTTTTGAATGAATAGAACAGCCTTTTTAATAAGAGTATTCTGGCTCGTGGCTTGATTATTTATAATATATACACTTTTGACTATTTGAAAAGTCTTTGTGGACCTTCAACATTTTTGAGTACCCCTGATTTAGAGAGCGGAATACAGTTTATTCCATTTCCAAAACCTAATCGGTGTTTGGAATAACGTAAAAGATGGATAAAGCCCGGCGGCCGACCTCATGATCGTCTCAGTACAACGATGATGAACGAGCATGTTCATGTGTACGAAGGCAACTGCAGTAAATCCTCCATGTTTGTCATAATTACATTGTATGTTTAATAGTTAAATTAAAGGTTAATGCTTAAAGCAGCTGTGCTTTGTTTTGTGAGTTTTGTATTTGGGTAAATGTTGCAGCTTCTGGTTGTATATCATCATTTTCATCCAAGATGGCGCCGGTGTGTAGGGCTGCCCGTCTCTCGCTCTCTGCTTGTATTTTATTTTTGTTATTTTTACAATGGTTGGTGCAGTGTGCCGAGTCATATTTTCAGTATGATCGTCGGGCACTTTT